ATAGCCTTTGTCGAGAAGCAGACAAACAAACAGACGTATCCTTTTGAGATGCGACATCCTCTGCCCCGGTAGGACTTGATGTCGAAAGGTCCGGCAAAGTCCACACCAGTATTTGTGAACGCTCGCGAAAAGGTGGTGCGTTCTTCTGGAAGAATTCCCATAAGTTGGGCTTGCGACCTTTTCTTGTGGATCGTACAAATCTTACAATTGTGTATGATGGACCTTATCATGTTTTTCACCCTCGGGATCCAATACTGCGCTCGGATGAGGCGCAACATCAGCTGATTTTCTCCGTGTAAGGAAAGTTGATGGACAAACTGGACGAAGAGACGGAACAACCTGCAAGTATAGGGAAGAATGATAGGATGGCGTTCATTGTAGGACAAGTCCCGAGATGCGCCAAGACGACCACCCGCCCTCATAATGTCGTCTTTGTCGATGAACGGGTTAAGAGGCAAGACTTCACTTTTTCAGTCGATGGATTTTCCAGACTTTAACCGTATATATTCTTCGTTGTAATATTGCTTTTGGCAAACCTTTATCAAGCGTTTAGTCGTTGCCTTAATTTTGTCGGCCGAAATTAAGCAAGACTCCGCCTCAAATGAAGACTTTGTTTTTGGATGTGTTCTTTGGGAAAATCTCACGATGTAAGATATAACTCTCAAAGCCCGCGAAAAATCAGAAAATCGATCAAGAATGTCGTTACAGTCGTTTACCTTTGGTGTTGCATGAACATGCACCCTTTTTTCTTCACTGGTTGTGTCGCAGTCCGATTCCTGTGCTGGCCATTTTGAATTATCTTCTTGTAACCAAGAAGGACCCTGTCACCACAAGACGTTGTTGACCAGTTCGTTGGCCGCCAGTCCTCTGCTAGCCAGATCTGCCGGGTTGGACGCCGAGTCCCCGTGACGCCAATTTTTGTTTCTTGCCTTCTCTACTATTTTTGTTATTCTGTGAGCAACAAATGTTGACCACGAGCACGGAGGTTTTCGTACCCACGCTAACAC